AAGTCAATACATTTTTATACACAAAATTAGTTGTCAATTAATTTTAATGTAATCATCAAATGAAATATTAAGCACCTGAAATAAATAGTAGACTATAATGCTAATAAGACACCTTTGTACTTTCACATCGGCTTTGGTCTTAATTTCCCGTTACACCCCAAGCTAAGGCGTTAGCCCATCATCGTTTGGTTTCTTTTCTCGAAGAATGTAAGGACTAAAAAGTAAATACTGAGACGGAAAAGTAAATTGCAGAAAGTAAATTGCAGAAAGTAAATTACAAGAAAGTAAATTACAGAAATTAAATTACAAGAAATGGAAATACTGGAAATTAAATGACAGAAATGTAAATTGCAGAATGTAAAGGACTGAAATGTAAAGGACTGAAATGTAAATGACTTGAATATAAATACAGAAATATAAAGACTGAAATATAAATACTAAAATGTAAAGACTAAAATATAAAGACTGAAATATAAATACTGAAATGTAAAGGACTGAAATATAAAAGACTGAAATATAAATTATTAATAACTAAATAATATTAATTATACTAATCTAATAATAATAATAAAAGAAAAAGTACATGTTGGGAAGACAAAATGTACTTTGATGGAAAAAGTACTTGTTGGGATGCCAAATGGTACTTTGATGGGAAGGCCTTGGGAAGCGGGTTTGACTTTTGGGGAAACTTGCAAGTCAAGTAATGAAACTTGCAAAACAAGTTTCGTTAAGAAGACCGGAAGATCACTTGCAAAGTCGTAAAAACTGTTTATATAAACTACGTAAATTAGCCGTAAGCCACGAAGGATGAGATCCGACGTAAAGCAACAACGATCGACTACTTCGTAACTTGAAATAATAGTAAGAAAACGTAGCGTAACAGAAAAGAGATGAAGATTTAAAGATGAGTACTTAAATTAAACTTTAAGAAAGAAATTACAACTACAAAGATCGAATCGTGAAAAGTCAAAGAGAACCGAAGCTTAGAACCAAAAGCAAAGTTCTTGAAAGCAACTCACAAAAGATTATTCATAAATCTCCCAAAAGTAATTGTGAATTGGAGAATTGGTTACCAAAAAGTGTGAATTGGTGAATTAAAACAAAGCTTAAGGCATGTATTTATAGTCCAAGAAAGGTCCCTAAGTGGGTGCCAACTAATAAGACAAAAAGCCTCTTCAAACTGGGCTTTGACCAAGCCCAAGGCTGTTGACCACGCCTCCCTACTGGATCAGCCAAAAAATCCACGGCCCAAGCAGTTTTCCAGCTCTCGGACAGGTCCTATAGGACCTTGCCACTCCTGGTCCTGTAGGACTGCTGCAGGACTGGGCCCAAAAATGCTCAAAAACCTGCAAAAACCGGGAATTAACATTAGATATACTATATTACTACTAATATATGAAAAAGGCATAAAAAGACTCAATTAGGACACTAATGGGCAAAAAAAACAAAGGAAAATGGTTAAGAAAATGATGTAATAAGATTAATAAATTAACACTTATCAGTAGTCAAGTGTTGGTGCGTGAGATTGTTAGAGGTTGTGTTTTGGGGATCGAATAAAAGGAATTTCGGGTGGACCTCATACCCATGGCTATAGGTGGATTCGATATCATAATCGGGATGGATTGGCTAGTTGAGAACCAAGCGGAAATCTTATGCTCTAACAAGCTGATCCGAATTCCTTTGGCGAACGGGGACGCAGTGCTAGCTTATGGAAAAGGAAGGAAAGGGAATGTAGTACTCTTATCTAAAAGGCACGTAAGTGCCTAGCTAAGGGATGTCCCTCATTCATTGCGTATGTGTTGGACACCAAGCTAGAGATAAGGAAAATTGAAGATGTGAAAATAGTCAATGAATTCCCCGATGTGTTCCCTGAAGACCTACCCGGATTACCGCCCGTTAGGCAAGTGGAGTTCCAGATCGACCTCATTCCGGGAACCGCTCCAATTGCTAGATCCCCTTATCGTTTGGCGCCATCCGAGATGCGAGAGTTGATGTCTCAATTGCAAGACCTTCTGGATAAGGGATTTATCAAACCGAGTTCGTAACCGTGGGGAGCCCCGGTCTTATTTGTGAAGAAAAAGGACGACACCTTGAGAATGTGCATTGACTACAGGGAGCTCAATAAGGCAACCGTGAAGAACAAATACCCTCTTCCTAGGATAGACGACCTCTTTGACCAACTTCAAGGAGCAAGTTGCTTCTCTAAGATCGACCTTCGCTCAGGGTATCACCAGGTTCGAGTAAAAGAAGATGATGTGTCGAAGACAGCTTTTCGAACACGTTATGGGCACTATGAATTCATGGTCATGCCTTTCGGCCTTACGAATGCACCAGCGGTATTCATGGACTTGATGAATCGAGTGTGTCGGCCGTTCCTTGATAAATCAGTGATAGTGTTCATTGACGACATACTCGTCTATTCCAAGGACGAAACGAAGCACGAACAGCATCTTCGAGAAGTTCTTGAAGTACTAAGAAAGGAGAAGTTGTATGTAAAATTCTCCAAGTGCGACTTTTGGCTGAAAGAGGTCCAATTCTTGGGTCACGTTTTCAATCAAGACGGGGTGAAGGTGGACCCATCCAAGATCGAGGCGATGATGAACTGGGCGCCACCAAAGAATCCGTCAGAAATTCGAAGCTTCTTGGGCCTGGCAGGTTATTACAGGAGATTTATCCAAGATTTCTCCAAGATCGCTTCTTCCTTGACAACTTTGACTAGGAAGAATGTGAAGTATATCTGGACAGAGAAGCAAGAGTATGCCTTTAGAACACTCCAAAAGAAATTGTGTGAAGCCCCGATCCTCTCATTGCCAAAAGGATCTGAAGACTTTGTAGTTTTTAGCGACGCCTCTAAAATGGGATTGGGTTGTGTCTTGATGCAAAGGGGAAGGGTTATAGCATACGCATCCAGACAACTCAAGGATCACGAGAAGAATTATCCCACCCACGACTTGGAGCTGGCAGCTGTGGTATTCGCCTTAAAACTCTGGAGACACTACCTCTTTGGAACTAAGTGCATGCTTTACACTGATCATAAGAGTTTGAAGTACATATTTGATCAAAAAGAACTAAACATGAGGCAATGTCGTTGGCTTGAGCTGCTCAAAGACTACGATTGTGAATTGCTATACCATCCGGGTAAGGCAAATGTAGTGGCCGATGCTTTAAGCCGGAAGGAGTATGGTAGTGGGACAAAAGTTGTGCTTGCCAGGATCGATATAGTGTCCAGTTTGATCAATCGGATCAAGGTGGCGCAATCTGAGGCACTTTTAGAAGAGAACCTCAAGAGTGAGGTAATGATGAAACAACGCTTACTGCTGTCAGAGGATGGCCGTGGATTGAAGTTATTTCAGGGGCGTATTTGGGTACCCAAGATTGGAGGCAATCGCGAGCTGTTACTAGAAGACGCGCACAAGTCCAAATACTCCATTCATCCGGGTAGCACCAAGATGTATTGGGACTTGAAGCTGACATATTGGTGGCCTGTAATGAAATTGGATGTGGCTCGTTATGTGGAGAGGTGCGTGACTTGCTTACAAGTGAAGGCGGAGCACCAACGACCTTATGGTAGTCTTCAATCCTTAGAAATCCCCGAGTGGAAGTGGGAGCATATCACGATGGATTTCGTGACCAAGCTGCCAAGGACCTTAAGAGGCCATGATACGATTTGGGTAGTGGTTGACCGACTGACTAAGAGCACTCACTTCTTAGCAATGCGTGAGACGTTGCCCATGGAGAGGCTTGCCAAGTTATACATCGACGAAGTTGTCTCAAGACACGGTATACCTTTGTCCATAGTGTCAGATCGAGATAGCCGATTCACCTCCCATTTTTGGAGTAGCTTGCAGAAAGAATTGGGCACGAGAGTGAAACTGAGTACAACTTATCACCCTCAAACTGACGGCCAGAGTGAGCGGACCATTCAAACACTCGAAGATATGCTTAGATYGTGCGTCATCGACTTTGGCGGGAATTGGGATTCTCACCTACCCTTGGTGGAGTTCGCCTACAACAATAGTTATCATTCCAGCATCGGAATGGCACCTTTTGAGGCCTTGTATGGTCAAAAATGTAGGACTCTTGTTTGTTGGCTTGAAGCAGGTGAGAAACAATTCGCCGGCCCCGAAATCATTCAAGAAACGACCGATAAGGTGAAATGTATTCGGGATCGTTTAAAGGCGGCACATGATCGACAAAAGAGCTACTCAGACAAGAAGAGCCGACCAATAGAATTTCAAGTGGGCGACCACGTAATGTTAAAGGTGTCTCCATGGAAGGGTATTATCCGTTTTGGAAAGCGTGGAAAACTAAGCCCCCGCTTCCTTGGGCCGTTTAAAGTCTTGGCTAGGGTGGGACTGCAAGCTTATAAATTGGAATTACCACCTGAAATGGCCGGAATCCACAACACATTTCACGTGTGTTACCTCCGTAAATGTTTGGCGGAAGAAGATAATGTGATACCACTTTTTGAAATTCGTATAAATGAGAACAAGCAATGCGTGGAAGAACCAGAAGCCATCTTAGAAAGCAAAACCAAGGTATTAAGGCACAAAGAAATTGTCATGGTTAAAGTACAGTGGAAACATCACCGAGGGTCAAACGTAACATGGGAAACGGAAGAGGATTTGAAGAGCGTTACCCTCACCTTTTCAAGTAGACGAAAATTTCGTGGACGAAATTCGACCCAAGGTGGGGAGGATTGTAACACCCAAGATTCTTTCCTTTTTCGTTCCGTGCGCATCGAAGGTTCTTAGTCCCGTTAATGAGGTATGCGTTATCACTCACCTATTTCTTTTTAGAGCTTTAACCACCGTGTTCTTTTTTCAAAACCTCCCTTTGTTAAGTGTTTTCCTTTTTACTTTTATATATAAATACATAAATATATATACATATATATATATATATATATATATACTTACTTTGCAGCCTCTTTTAAACCAATAGGGTGGTACTAGTGTCATAAGGGGGGGCACCAGCTGTCTTTTGGGGTTATCATACCTGTTTCACTTTGGTAACCACCATTTTCCTAATGGTTTCTCTCCTTCCCTAAAGGTCTTTAAACTCTAGTTGGTTTTAGGAAGATAACTCTCGAAAAGGGACATATGGATGGGAAAAAAAAAGCAAAAGGCGAAGAGGAGAACAAAGAGGACGGTCGCTTTCTCTTGGAGTGAAGAGAAATCCTTCATCTGTAGAAGCCCTGCCAGCATCGT